GTAAAAATCACTTTGATTATAGAATTTTACTGGCCTCCTCTCCCTACCTTGTCTCTTAAAACTAATCCATAGCCCTGGCTGGCATAGCTCAGTGGATTGAGCGTGGGCCTGCGAACCATGCGAGCACGGTTTGATTCCCAGTCAGGGCACATGCCTGGGTTGCAGGCCAGTTCCCAGTGGGGGACACATGAGAGGCAACCATACATTGATGTTTCTCTCCTTCTCTTTCTCCTTCCCTTCCTCTCTCTCTGAAAATAAATAAAATATTTTAAAAAAACTAATCCATAGAGAATAGCAGGCACTGAATGCTGTGAAGACAAGAAAAAATAACTTTTAACAAATTGTTAGGTTATTGATTTTTCATTACCAGAATTATAAAATCAACAATTAAATTTTATGTATTTAGCATGTCTTTTAAACTTAGTCAAGCCAGTTTTATAAGACCAAAGTCTATTGAATTTCTGCAAATGCTCTGGCCACAAAGAAATGATCACCAGAGGTAACTGGCAGCCTGCAGCGATGGCTCTCTTCCACACGGCAATTCACAGTAGATGTCAGGACATGTGCAGTTGGGCTCCAGAAGGGGGTGACGGTGAAGCAAATTCATGAAGCCTTCCCCTCAGTTGTCACAGAAACAGAACATAGATTCCAGTGCTGCAATTAATTGGGCCTATCATAAAAATGAAAATCACGACCTAAATATTGTGTATTTACCAAATGCTCACATGGTCTGGATGTGTTGTCAAAAAACTTGAACTAACACTCATGACCATAGCTTTCAAGGACTCTTGCTTCAGTCATTTATCACAAGATTTTTAAACAGGGAAGTCTTGTTTAACAGCTAAAAAAATTATGAAGTCATTCAGAGTATCAGAAGTTCACATGCTGGAAATTTATTTGTTTATCATTAATACGTACTTACCCTTTATGTACAGGTTTAAAAAAAACCACTTTCCTCTTTCCCAATTTTGAGAAAAGTCATCCTAATTTGACCATGTATTTGACACATTTGTAATCAGAAGATTCTAGTTGAAAGTTTCCAGGAGTTCTGCCCATTTTTCCACTTATAATAACCCATATTACACTTCCAAAATTTACTTACATATAGACATCAGTATGAGATATCAAAGGTTCTAACTTTTGATCTTAAGTTAGTGCTTGTCCAGTACTTTACAGCATTTCTTTAACTTCTAGTTTGGGGTTTTAAAATAAATAATTGTTGTAGCTCCTACCATTACTAGCAACCCTTACTACAATTTATTTAGCTTTCTTTGAAAGCAAAAGTGATACTGAAATACAAAGTAATATTTAAATCAGTGGATATATATCTTTTTCTCTTACTAAATGTACCTATTTGAGGTTCTGTTTCCTTCACTGACATTTTTCAGCACCTCCCTTCTCAATATGTCTTCTCTGATTAAGTACCTACCACCAGAGACTAACATGTATATCTCCAGCAACCATCACACTATAAAGCTCTATCTATTGAGCATTGCTTTCTGGAAAACATATAAAATCTGAAAAATCAATGATCCCAAGCCATGTTTATATTTTCAGACCTTTTTGTTTTATATACCTTGCTCCAAACTGCCAACAGAAAATGTTCATTCCCCTAGCCATCCCTCTTTCCTATTCACTGTTTGGAACTCCAAACACACCTTCTCAAATCCTCTTCCTTATTCAGACCACATTCTGTTGCTCACCATATTTAATTGATTTCTTCTCCTAAATATCCTTGGAATATGCCTCCCTTCCTCACCCATCACATTGCTCCTGTTATATTTTAAAGTATCACCAGTCTTTTACTCGATCACATTCGTTGTCGAGTTTCCATGACTGCATGCTGTCGAGGAAAATCACCTTCCCAATACAAATGTGACCATATTGTTCACCAGATTGAAATGCCTCATATCTACAGAATAATTTCCTTGGCCACAAAGGCTTCCATAATCTAGATCTACCCTGTGCTTCCAATCTCCTTGATGTTCCTCATGCTTCCGTTAACCGCTACTTAAGCATCAGTTGCACTGAACTCATGCCAGTCTCCTTCTTGATGCGGTAATTGTGGTGTTTGCTACCCTATCCCCACAATGGCCACTTCCATCCTGATAACTTCAGCTCATTTTCTAAAGTTAAGTACAAATGGTAGATAGTCTCTGAAACTTCCCCACCACCAACGCCTCCATTGATTATATGAAAATAGTGCAACAACATTGCTTGGAAAAGTGATTCCAAAATACAAAATGGAATATTATTAGAATGGAACAAAGAAGAAGCATGACAAAGTGGAATTCTATTTTCTGTCTTACAATCATAAGATTTGAAGGTTGAAAGGGTTGTTACAGTCAATTCAAACCAAAGTTTTCTGTGGTTTCCATATAAAAAGTAAAAACTCTTGCCTTAACAAGAAGTTTGGGAAATTTGTGCCTAGTTGTGTAATACTGACTGTATAATTTGAATGATCATTGTACAGCTTTCAAGAAAGTAATCATTATGACACTCAACTGTAAAAAATTAGAACCTTAAAATATGAACTTCTTAGTCTCCATTCTTCTTACTTCCCACAACATAATACTGAAACCTTCCTGAAGGAATAGTTTGCCATCAGATTTATGCATGGCCATATCTGATGTTCCCTGATTAAGAAAAACAGACAAACAAGGGTTTCTTTGCCAGTTAGGACAACTATGTCTTACCTCTTGCAAAAGGATATTCTGTTAAACATTTGTGTCTAGAAAGGAAACATAGTTTGAAAAAGCAAGCAAAAAGAATGATCGTTGCACACTGTGTGGGTGAATTGTGCTGCATTTCATCAGTAAAAGCTTTAAAGAGGGAATTGGGCACCCCCATAATGTTGGTGCAAATTGTTACCAATCATGGGACCCATACCCTTCTTTCCTGGAGAAGTTTCCAATAATCAAAACTCAATTGTTAAAGTGAAATTTATTTTAATGTACATCGTTGGTTTTTGAGGCTCTGAACATGTGATTCATGTTTATGTTCATAGCAGATTTATTTAAAGTTATGTCATCATTGACTTTTGAGTTTCGAGGTACTCAAAAGTATATTATGCTTCCTCTGAGCAGCTGCGTTTCAGAGACGGGGACAGATTGGTGTGGACTGAGCCAATCCATCCTCGTGTAAACCCAGAGTCACTCGGTGCCCTGGGTTTGAAATGATTTTCTTTCAAACTGAAGTCCACTTTTCCACAGACTTTTATAAAAGTTTCATGAGTTGTTTTTGTTTTTAATCTACACCTCTAGTTTCTTAAAATGGGTCAGTTAGATTCAGAACACATGGAGCTCTCTTCCCTCCTGCCCAGTTTAGGGTCTTTTCCCGCTTAAAATATGCACACATTTTCTGTAAGTCTCCAATGCTGAGTTACTGGCATGAAAAATGACCCTGTTACTTGGAAAGCAGTCTTCACTTACGAGTCCCCCTGGTCCTGTAATGTCTAAACCTCCTGTGCCACTTTATATGTCTGCCCCGCCCCGCAGAGGAGCATGTGCCGGAAAAGCAGACTTCCCTTCCCCCACACATTTCCTCAGTTTATTTACAAAACGTCTTGGAATGAGAATGAGCTGCTTGTGGTTCCTGCGGCTGATTCGGGGATGGTTTCCTCCAGGCAGAGGGTGCTGGTCAACTGAGTGACCTCTCTGTAGCTAACTCGTGCCTCCTGTGGTGAGACTGATTGGGCTTATGGGTACCCCCTCCAAGTAAACCTGGTGGGATCTGTGTTTGTGGTAAAGAACTTAATATCAGAAATCACTGTGAAACAGACTAATGATGGCAAGGTCCTTCAGAGCCTGTCCCTCCCACCGAGACACGAAAGGCCAGAAGTATACCGGGATGCATTTGCACACTTATGTATCCACCTTTGCTTCTCATAAGGGTCAGGATTTTTCCCTTCTAGACTCCTGAAAGGCCAATAAAGTTACTAATATTGTACTGAAATAGAGAATACATTAGTAGAATAAACCATCCTGAATACCAGCTCCATGAGATTTAGTTGCAATTTTCCAACAGCTCATAGGAGTCATAGACCAGGTAGTTGTAGAAAGGTCTAAAGTTGTGAAGATGTCAAGTAAACATAAATCTCCCAATTGTTGGTTTATAATGGTTCTGACTTGCTAATGGATAGCCTCATCACATAACTAAATGACTCTTGAAAGCCTTGGAATTCTCAGGAATGTGTCTACACATAGTCCTTAGTGTGGACTGGTCAGGTCCTCATCAACATGCGTTTCACTGGAGTAATGGAGGATGAGGACACAAACTCTGTAGGACTTCTCTGCCAATTGGTAAAATGTTGAACTTAAGTTCTTTTAAATACTCACATACGACCCACGTGGAAACAACAGTAAGTGGAACATCGCATTTTCACCATGTGTCAATTTGAACTGATAAATATTAAACTCATTTGAGGAGGAATATTTCAGGGAAGCATTGGCAGGTGGGGGCCAAATAGCTACATAGTTTCAGAATCAATTCGCATTGGATCAAAGAGTAAAATTGTGTACTCTAACATACCATAGTTGAAAAAAGATATCCTAGAACACAGTGTCCTTAACTCAAGTTAAGCCCCAGTCCATGTTGTCATCCTTGCTTGGGAAAATGAGAGATGGGCTTATCATGCACCATGCAAATGAAAAGCAAAATTAATGTGCATTGATTTCAATGAATGAGCACAAAATTAGTATCTCCGATCTGCCAGAGCTCTGGTTCAGTTGGGATATATGTAATTATAAATAGTGTGAGACAATACATTATACATTACATGGTCAAATTTTAAGACCTTTTGAAACAGAAACAAGGTATGTATATATTAAAAGGAAATATCAGATCGCAAAAAAAGAGGGGAGAAATCCCAGTTCATTCTCCCATTACCACCAAATTGAAAATTAATGAAAAAAAAATGTATGTTCTCCCCGGAGAATGTCACTGGCCTTCTGTATTAACAAGTTAACCTTTGTTTTTGTCTTTCCACATGTGCCCCCCAGTGCATCCTAACGTCAGTCAAGGCTGCCAGGGAGGCTGCGCAACGTGTTCCGATTACAATGGATGTTTGTCATGCAAGCCCAGACTATTTTTTGTTCTGGAAAGAATTGGCATGAAGCAGATTGGAGTGTGTCTCTCTTCATGCCCAAGTGGATATTATGGAACTCGATATCCAGATATAAATAAGTGTACAAGTAAGTGCCTACACAAAATTGTGTTTTTATCTCATCCTTGGGGACTTTCCAGGTTTGAAATGCCTCTAAAATATTTGTGATATTCAATGTTAAGTAAATAATAATATTTACCTGGTAATTAGGAAAACCCTGCTTGGACTTTACCCTCTGAAAGAGGCAAAGGCTGAAACGTTTTCACTATTATTGAACATAAGTAGACATTTGGTTATAAACATTCTTGGTAGTAGACTCACTGCCAAAATTGTTTTTCATAAGACAAACAATACAGCAATTCTAAAATCAATGATTGATGTACGCCAACCAAATGACTGAGGGAGAATCCTTAATTTAGTTTGGCAAGATAATTGTGAAGCCTGAATGTTTGTTTGGCACAGAAGTCATACATGCCAGGGTCGTAAGTGCACAGAACTGGACCGACAAGAACTGAGTGAAGATGATGAAAATTTGTTTCTCACTTTTTTTTCTCTTTCAGAATGCAAAGCTGATTGTGATACCTGTTTCAACAAAAATTTCTGCACAAAGTGTAAAAGTGGATTTTACTTACACCTTGGAAAGTGCCTTGACAATTGCCCAGAAGGGTTGGAAGCCAACAACCACACCATGGAGTGCGTCAGTATTGGTGAGGAGAAGCATTAAGGTTTACAAAGGATGGAAAACACTTCCGGTGATAATTCAGCCTCCATGGAATGCTCCTCAAAGTGGTATTTCACAAGCATCTGAGGGACTGTTCCTAAGAGGCTCTCTCCATCCTCACATCTCAGTGATGTTCCTATAACTTTACCCAGCATGTATTAGAGCACAGTTAACACCCTGTGGGAGCTCCATGGTTTCTTAGGGACCGTTAATAATTATTTCAACTATTCTTATCAGTATAGATTTGTTTTGTATCTTTCTTTAATGAGGTTTTACTTATAGTAATATATATAACTTTATATACACACTATGTGGATATAGAGATAGAGATGATAGAGATAGATAGAGACAGAGATAGACATAGACATAGACATAGACATAGACATAGACATAGAGATGATAGAAATAGAGATATGACCATACAAATATTTGGTCTTGAACTAAATTTCCACCTTAGGGCAAAAGCTTCACAAAACACCTAGGTCTAATCTCATTCAGTGACCAAAGTGATTTTCCAAGGAAAGAAAAAACATGCCCAGTGGGTAGATCAAATGCCTGGATAACTGGAGCTGATACAGTTAAAACTCTTACTCTTTCCTTTCACACTGCTTTGCTGAAATGACCTGCTAAGCAGATATTGGGAAACAAGGGGAGATTTTTGGACTTACTCACACTGACGGAGGAGGCAGTCCCAAGGTCTGATTAATTGCAGGCTGAGTTTCCTGGAGGGGAGGTCTCTCAGACAAGTTGTTTGTCTAAATAACAGATCACTGTCAGGCTATATTTTCCTTCTTTTAAATGCTGCATAGCTACTACAGCTACAAGTTTGATGAACACTTGGGGAGCAGATGCTAAACCAAATGGGAAAACAGTGTACTAAATCTCCAAATCCCCTGGGCTAGAGCTACAAGAACCTTTGATGCTGCGCTGATGTTGGCATATGCACACAAATGTCCTCCTGATTCAGTACAAGATAGTCTCCATGACTCTCCTGGGGTGCCCACAGACAGATCCGTTAGAACCTGGAGTGCTGGAGTACTAGCTCTGGAGTGGTGGTTTAACCATTTCCGGTCCACACAGGACATTTATTTCTAAACAAGGCTTCAGCAGAATGAAATAAATGACATGTTAAAGATAATTTCAGAGAATCTAGAAAACAACAGTCCTGAACAGTTCATGACTTATTTTGGCTCTGTCTCTTTTTTTTAATTTAGCCAATAAAAACACAGAAAAACACCTTAAAATAAGGTAAAATTACAACCTTATCTTTTTGTAAGTACTGAGTGCTGATTAGAGGTAATAAGTTTGAAACTGTGGAAATAACAGGAAACAATTCTGTGGAATATCAAAGTACAGAAATTCATGATGACTTGCAGAGAGTTTGTGGTATTTCTCCACCCAGAAAAAGGGGCGCCTATTTAGATTTTTCTTAGTTGTTGAAAGTGTAGTGTTTAGTCCTTGAAAGGATATTCATTTTAAATTTATCAATGCTTTCTTATCAGAGAGAGCATTTAACAATTAGGACTATTGGGTGAGCCTTTACAGCCTACTGGAAATTTATACTGCCATCAAAACAAAAACTATTTCTTAACACAATAAAATTAAAGAAGTTCTATATTGTAGAGGAAGGTTAGCAATATAAAACCCGTTTAGTAAACCTGGCTCATTGACCTGGGACACTGGTAATGCACGTCAGCAACTTTGGTCCAGGACTGGCTCTTGTTGCCCACATCATGTGAAGGGTCTCCCGTCCTGCAGCGTCTGACCTGTAAGTACTGTGCCGGCCGTGCCAATGGGCGTGCCCCAGAATTCTGTGAAAAATGATGACCTGCTTGATTATCACAAAGGACTGTTAAAGCCTGTCCCTTTAACAAATCTGAAAACTAGGACTCAGAGCTGAAATGAGGATCTCAAGGATGCAAGTGAGTTATTGCCAGTGCTATAATTAGTACCTTAACTCTAGCTCTCCAGAGCTCACCCAACAGGTTGAAGAATGTGTTTCTCCCCCTCTTTGCTAAAATCTCAGCATATGGCTTGTTTCTTACCCAGATTTTCAACTGGTAGGGAAGTTCATAAACATAGATACCACCACCCTGATAGAGAGCTGGGATAAAGGCCTCACAAACATATCCATTGCCACTGTTTTCAGGTCAAGTCAGGCACAATATCCTCTGAACTCAATTTTATAGGGGAACATATTTCTGCTACTTTGTACTCCAGATATTTGCTTCCTTTCTGAACTGTCATTCCATTCTCTCATCCTTATTGCTTCTCTTGGAAAGTTGGCCTTGTTAAGTAGTCAAAGAGGGAAGATATTCAGCTCCAAGAGTGACAAGTAAGGAACTTGCCCTTGCTATGTTCTCTGTGGAACCATGTAGTTAGCCAACAAGAATGAAAGCAAACAAGTAATAATGTTATAATGGTGTTGTAAGTACTGGTGGAACATCTAGTTCAGCTTTCCTCCCAGTTCAAGAATCCCTCCTACCGCGTTCCTGACTGATGATCACCCACAGCATGGCCACTTCCTGAAATAGGCAACTATTTACACTTGTGAGACATTTGCTTTATTAGTGAATAGTTAATTTCCTGAGCTAAGATTTATCTTAATACAGGAGATAAATAAATACAGAAGTGGAGTAGTCATGTTTTTCCTTAATTAATGACCTGAACAACTTACTACCCTTGTTATTGTCCTTACATGTTTTCCAAAGTTTCTATTTTTCTCAGAAATATTTTTGGACACTAATACTATAGATTCATTCCACAGTATTTCTCCAGGAGAAATTTTCCTTCTTTCAAGGCTTTTTAATATACCATCTTATTAGAGTTTTTTACTATCTGAACTCTTTAGTTTTGAATATTTTCCTTCCTTTATCAATAGAATGATCTATTATTATATATTATCTATTATTAGAATATTATTATTGGAATTCCATTGTTAGAACCATTTATCCTCTTACAAGGGCTTATAGGTAGCTAGCTGTAATTTTTACAATATTTTTCTGAAGTCTAAATATACATTTTCCTAGAGCACCTTTGTTATTGTAAAAAGCAACAAAGTTGCTGTTCACTTCCACATCATATACCTTTTTTCTCATTTAGTCCTCTTAGTTCTTATATTAAATGAATACTAGACAAAATGATAGCTGATAAACTTTGATTTTTATTTTTCCATCTGGTTTCTTGGAGGTCTTTTTATTTGTTGTGCTGAAGATCCACTGCTTTTTAATGATTAATATTGGGATGGAAGATACTTCCTTAACTGGCAAGAGATTACAATATCATTACATGACTTTGTTGCTCTAACATTATTATAACTGAGCATGAAGACTATTTTGAAAGTGGTTCAGTAAAGTTCATTTGAGTTCATAGAAGCTTAAATTCACTTGTCTAATCATTTCCATTTAACTCTGTGTTGTATTCAGATACCCGAGAGTGACTGAAAAAGCATGTGAAAAAAATGTATGTCAAATGGACTTAAAGTTCTGTCTCTTTAGGTTGTATGAAATATAGAATAAAATTCTATAGTAAGAATTCTTTAAATCAGAGTGCTGTAAGAAAGCTTACTAGAAAATTGTTTTTGTGGAGAGAAACTTGTTTTATCATCTGAAAGAGTTACTATTACAAGCCGTTAATAGTTGTTGTAAATTAGGAAGTCTGTGGACATAAATATAAGAATAGCGCCTTACAAATATTTATTTTTATTAGAAAGTTCAAAAATCTGACCTTGAAAAGCCTTGATTGAAGAGATTAACCCATAAAGAAAAGGACCAACTCTACAAAAAAAGCTTTAGAAAAAGTACATCAGTTGATCTTAGGAATCACTTGGTCAAGTTAATTCTAGAATTGGTCTAATAGCTGGAATTGGCCCAGAATTCACTCAAAACAGATGTTGCCATGTTTGAACTATACCAATTAAAAATGATAATATTTCAGTACCCAAGATCACTGAAGTAGAAGAGATAGTGAATTGTAGGCTAAGGAACTGGATTCATTTTGGGGGGCTTTACCATTCTGTAATGAAGTTATCAAAGTGTGTTCTCAGTTGTGCCAACAGTATTGTATGCATTGTTAGTAATACAGATTCTCAGGCCCAATCCTAGAAAACCGAATCAGAAACACTGGAGGTAGGACCTGGGCTTCTATGTTTTAGCAAGCCCTCCTGGGGATTCTGTATGCTACAGTTTGAGAGTCAGTTCTCTAGCACATAATAATGACTATTCTATAAAATTATGGTCAGAATCAATGACTGCCCCATCAAGTCATGTTCTGTGTTTAGAAATTGTAAAACATTGGTCAACTGTGAGTAATTATATTAGTTGCTGGTTAATCAAATCTAAAGTGAAAAGTAAACTAATGTAAGAATAAGTGTACCTGATAATATGAGTACTGAAGACCTGAAAACACTCTATTCTTGCCTTTCCCTTTACATTCATTTTATCTTTAAGTCATCTTGCCCGACTTGGTTCTGCAGGATTTGCGCTCAGAACTGGGGCCCGTGTTGATGAAAGCAAGCTGTTTGGTTCACATAACGATGGGGAAGGTACCTGTGAGCCCGCTGAGTCTGTGTCCCCTGTTCTGTTTCAGTGCACTGTGAAGCCAGTGAGTGGGGTCCCTGGAGTCCATGCACGAAGAAAGGAAAAACATGTGGTTTCAAAAGAGGGACTGAAACAAGGGTCCGAGAAATAACACAGCATCCGTCAGCAAAGGGCAACCTGTGTCCCCCAACCAGCGAGACAAGAAAGTGTACAGTGCAAAGGAAGAAGTGTCAGAAGGGAGAACGAGGTACAATCATACTAAAAAACATGTTCTTATTTGAATCTTCATAACTTGATGCAAATTTTACTTTATTTCTTAAGACACATTTAGTATTGTCACTCATGTCTAAAACCATAAAATACGTAGCAACTGAATATGTTAGCTGTAAATTACAGACATAGATGTGCAGTTTTTTAAAAAAGATCCTGCTATCAGAACTTCATACTACTATAGAATTATGCTAATTGAATCTGGATGAAAAAGGTTGCATCGTGGGAATTTAGGCTTATTTGGGGGCCAGGAGCATAATTTTTTCTTTACTCCACCTTCCTAGTACCTAGAAAACATTTGAGTAGCCTCATAAACACAAGGTCTCATGCCATGCAGCCCCAGACTATGGTGAAGAGACACTAGAAAATAAACTTATTCCTTTCTCCATTGCCTACCAACCAAAGTAGTGTAATTATGGTGTAAGCTTTTTGTAGGTAAACATATTTTAAAGGTTATATGGAATTTTTAAAACAGGTTGTGCATGTTTTCAATACTGACTTTTGAGATAAAGAACCAAGCCATATTTTATAAACGTAATATAAGCATCAATGACATTTTATCCTCCATTTTTTCATATTACACTAACTTTATATACCAGATTACAGAACCTATTAGATTAGTATTGAATAACTCTGGGTGAGGTCTTGTTCTGAAGTCTTATGATTGCCCAGGAAAAATGTACCACTTAATGTGATACTTTAAGGTGATTAAATTTCCATCTAGAAGTTTTTGACCTTTAAAGTTTAACCTTTTCATCTTTCTCACTGTCTTGAGCACCACTGCCTACAAATATGTTATATAGGTTTATATAACTATACATGGTCAACAAATTATCTCAATTAACTTTAACTTAAAGGAGTTTGGCTGCCATTGTAGTTCAGATTCCTTTGCTTATTTTATTCATTCATTCATTCGTTTACTTTATAGCCACACATGGTGCTTAGCTCTGGAGATTCACAACTGAATAGGATGCGATTTCTGTCAGAGTCCTATGGAGGTTTGAGATGTTCAAACACATAATCACAGTATCATGTAATAAGGGAAATTTTATGTGTGTGAGCGAGTTCCACAGGAACATTGTGGAGGTCGCCACGTAAACAGGAACGTTGCCCATGTGAGGAGGAACAGGAGTCACTGCACTCTGCACAGTGTCTCCCTGCACTGAATGACCTGGCCATCATTAGGCTGTATAAGGCTTATTGTTGTTTTACTGCAGTCAAGTAGTTAATGTGATAAAATTTTTGAAGACATGGATTGTCTTAAGGAGAACTTCAAGCTTTTGTGAATTTGTAAGAGGTTTTGATTAAAATTAGGTTTAAGGAATGAAAGTTGGCTAGTGAAAAAGGTCTTTCTGGCATTTGTTACCAATTAATTTAAAACATCTTAGATTTTAAAATTTGGATTTAGAAATCAAATATTTCCTCACTATACTTGCTAGTAAGTTCCAATAGTTGTGCATTTACTTATGTTTACTATATATTTTTTAAATTTAGTGACTTACAGTTGATCTTTACTCATATTATTATTTCTGTAAAGATTCTACCTTATTAATCAGTATTTAGTACACTTGTCTTTTCAAATATAAGTAAAGAAAACATTATCCAATAAAAATTAAATTATGATACTAATCACTTTTTTTACTTGAGAATGTGATCTAATATATTTTGCTAGCACGTGACTTAAACATTAACATTGAAAATATCAGTTTTCAAAACTAAGAATGGATAAGACAAATAATGTAACAAGAAGCTTAAAAATAGTAACCTGTGACATAAGCTTGGCTTAAAAGTTACTTTTTCCTCCTCTCTGATAGGATATAGTGACATTTTATGTTTGTAAAGGAGCACTATACAACCATAAAAATGTATGTTTTATTCTTTTTCAAGTTTGATAATACATAAACAATCAAGTAGGAAATATAAATTGCATTTATAATTAAATACCAGATTCAGTTCCACTTTTATTCATCTTCATACATCTTTTTATTTGTCAAAAAATTTTCTCAAGTAGCCTAAAAATTTAAGTTACAAAGGAAGTCACTTTTTTTATTCCTTGCCTCACAAACCTAATAGTTTTCTTAGCTTCTTTTAATGGTAACTTTAAACATGGACAAACCAAGTGGAAAAGTATTTATAACCTCTAGACAGGCCACTATATTACATCAAAATAATATAACACAGAATACTCGATTTAGACTCTGAGATACTCTGATATATATACAGTGCCCAGCACAAATAACACCCCTTTTCTATTACAAAATCATTTATTACAAAATCATAAGCATGTAGTTCTGTAAGATAACAGTATCACATTTAAGCACACCATATGACATTTTAGGTGAAATGTTCAAATTGCTGTCCATCTCATATGAGACATTCACGTACCCTACCAACCACACTTGAGCAAGCTTTACTTCTACTGTACTATATAAATATAAATATGAATATAAATATAAATATAAATATGTAATAAAGTGTTAAGGACAAACACAATAAAGTGATAAAGACATGATATCTCCTACCATTAGTATAGCTATTACTGAGTTGTTCTTAAATGCTTATAGATTCATAAAATAAAATTTTTTAGGTTCATGGCTGGAGTACTTCTGAAGGATAAGCTAAAGGATAAGGTGTTTTAAAATATAATTTAGCCTGAAAAATCTTGAATTTAAACTTACACCTATCATTCCTGCCTAAAAGGTTAACAATAGACAGAGGCCGATAAGTCATATTTGGAAAAGGTGTAGAGCATGTGTTCAGGATTTTTTCTGCTGTGTTGTAATTGCCAAAGACAAGGTCTCCAGGGAAGAGTGATAAGATCCAGAAATGACTTTTCAAAATTTACACAAAGAGGTTGAATAGAAGAAACTAGGTTTTCATAACAGGATGGATTATTCTAGTTGTGAGATGCATAGATAGATAGATAGATAGATAGATAGATAGATAGATAGATAGATAATAGATAGATAGATAGATAGATAGATAGATGATAGATAGATATATAGATACAAATATACACAATATATGTTTGAAAATTGCTAATCTTATACATACACACATTTTCTTTATTAACATTCTTCTCATGCATAGAATAGTTACAATAAATAAATCTGCAAAGAAAAATGCAATTTCTTCAGTCCCAAATCTGAAATTTTATCTGATATACTCTTCATACCATTTAAGATCATTTCCCTTTACCTGACATGCTACCTTCTAATCGATTTGAATGTCTCCATTAATTACTAGCTTTAATAAGTTATTCCCATTACAATAGTTTCTAGCTTGAGCTTGTTTAAATTGAATTGTATGTTTAAAAGGTCAAAAACATATAACATTTTAAGAGATTATAAAGGTTAACATACAGACTACTGTCACAGTGCATTATAAACAAGAGAAAATGTACTGTCAGTGGTTGTAAACTTATATTTATTGACTTTTTTATTTACTCAGTGTAACCATCTTAGATAAGGGGAAGTGAAGCAGGGCAATGAAATATACATGTGCCTGCATTTGATGCAAAAGGGTGATTTTTGTGTGTATTCAGGGGTTGGGGGACACAAAGGGAAGAGGATCACCAAACATGTTCCTTATTCATTTGCATATTTTAACTGACTGAAGAAAATCTGCTACAGATATTGGGTTTTCAGGCAATTTGCAAAGAAAGAAAGAATGAAGGAAATTTTGTTGCATGAAGGACATACTAATTTATTACACGCAGTACATGATCTTAGGGTAGAAAGGAAGGGGAAGAATAGTCACAAAAGAAATGGTGTCTGGTCTACTTTCTTGACGTCAGCAAAAAACAGCATCCCTCCTGCCAGGGAAGGAGAACAGGAATCTGTTAAAACATAAATAAATAAAATGTCCAGGGACATTTCCAGGGAAGAAACAGTGTGGGAGTTACTGCATTATTTGGACACATTGCAGGTTGCTTTATGTGCCCTCCTTAAATGAAAGTAAAGTAGTAAAAGTCCAGTTTTACACAAAGGAAACATGTTAATGTTAATTTATAAATGGCTATTAATCACATCCTCAAATACCACTATTATAATGTGCATTATATTTATCATGAGTACTATATTTTATTTTATTTTTTAAAGATTTTAGTTATTTGTTTTAGAGAGGGGAAGGGATGGAGAAAAAGAGGAAGAGAAACATCCATGTGTGGTTGCCTCTCTCCTGCCCCCTACTGGGGACTTGGCCTGCAACCCAGGCATGTGCCCTGACTGGGAATCAAACCAGTGACCATTTGGTTCACAGGCTGGCACTCAATCCACTGAGCCACACCAGCTATGGCATATCATGAGTACTATATTTTAAACTACAGCAAAAAAAAGTTTAAAAAAATCAAGCAAATAAAAAATGAGTCTGTTTTATTGCTAAGAATCCTCCCCTGTTAGTTAATTTACTTCTTAAAATCTTTATGACAAGTATGCCAGTAATGAATAGTTGAGTTTTCTACAGGAAGAATTTATATTAAATATCCATTCAAATTCAAAACAAGATATTTAGCCAATATTCCTAGAACAGTGCTCAAAACCCAAATAGATAGATTCATTAACTCAAAATTATAGGAGGCCAACTGGCTTAGAGTATGTGGATGATGTCCTCTCCCCACCTTCAGTTCATGGAGGAAGACCAGCCGGCCTGCAGGCACTCATCCTGTTTAAGCTCTGAAGGGTGGGAGCTTTCTGCTCCTCCCCTGCACCCAAGCAGTGGACTAGCCCTTTGACATACATCAGAGAAATTTTCAAAAAGTACAGAGCTAAGATAATAATAGCATGGAGGCTGTGGTTCTTTTTTATTTTTAATTATTTTATTGTTGTTCAATAACAATTGTATTAATTTTCCCCCATTGTTCTCCCCTGCCCTGCCCAACTCCCCATTCCATACTTATCCTCCTACCCCATTGTCCTTGTCCATGGGTCCTTTATACACATTCCTTGATTTGACCCTCCCCCCTCTTCCCCCTGTCTT